TAAAAGTTACGTCGGAATATTGTTGTGAGTGTCCATCTAAAAATGCAAGACATAGTAAAATGTAATTTAAAATTATCTTAAAACTTAATATAAAATGTATCATGAAAAGATCATGAAATAACCACTAAGTCTCTTACATGTCCTACAATAATAGTTTTATGTAAATTACGATGTATGATGAGACGCTCGTATAGTGACAAATCGATTCAACTCACAATAATTTTATTAATATTAACGATAAAAAACTGAAATCACATAACACAATATTAATATAACATAAAGGCATGTAACAGAGTAGTTACAGGAATATTACTCTGACTCTTATTTTTTCTGATTTCTGCGGAGTAAATCCCAGCCGCCGCATATATATATATATATATGTATCAGATTTATCCTATATATTAAAAAGGGTTGGATAGTGAATACAATCCTGGGCATCGATTACGTATTTTTCGGTGACATCGTTCACTTTTAGATTTTCACCGGTGGCCATCTCACGGTTTCACCATTTGTTATTTTCACTGTGATCACCTAGCGAAAGAAATGATTAGTGACATAACTAGAAGTAGTGAAGACTTATTCACATGAAAATATTCCAAAAATCATACTGAAGACAACTTCAAGACTCTAAACATAACCTTAATACCTAATAATACAGAATACTCAGTGGCAATAAGAAAGACAGTTACTAACAATTGTAAGTTGCAACAATTGACTTATTAATTATAATACGTAAATTTTTATATTTGAAAAATTTCTCGAATTTAGTATATGTATTTTAGTTAAAAAATGAATGTTACATATAAGCAAAGAGAAATTTTATTAACGTACATGGAATCCCATCGTGAATTATTACAAGGACGATTAAGCAGGAAATCGGAAAGCCGCAGGACAATGGTATTATTATTAATGCACAATGTGTGTTATATGAAAAATATGCTTTATTTAAATATTGGGATATATATATGTAATAGGTAATGAATTTGTTTCACAGAAAGATATGTGGGATGACCTAGCGAACATTTTGAATAGTTCTGCCGAGGGTCCCAAAAAGAATTCTGAAGAATGGAGAAAAGTAAGAGTTATTGAAAAAAGTTTTACTACTTATTTTTTCAATTTTTGTCATTTTTTTAATTATCTAATATCCATAATGTAATTGCTTGTTTTATAATAGAGCTGGAATGACTGGCGAATGAATGTTCTTAAAAAGGAGACGAAAAGAAGAAATCATTCGAAGAGTACAGGTGGTGGTTCTCCTATGAAAATTAACTTCACTGACATCGAAGAAAAGCTGTTGGAGTTATTGACACCCGAAGCTGCCGGAATTGAGAATGTGCCTCAGGGAGGAATTCCTTTAAAGAAGCCACGCAGCGAGCAGGTATTCCGTTACAAAATTATACTATGTTATAGGTAATATATCAGCACATTATCTTTCAGCAACATTTTTTAAATGAAGAATTTTTTATTTCAAAAGGAATTAGAATTTACAGTAGTTGTTATAGTATTATGTTTATGATACTTTATTTAAAAAATATGTTGATGATACTTTATTTTAAAAACATGAAAAATATTAAGAATGAAAAATTTATTATTCTGCAGAGTATTATGAAGGATTCACATAGACATTTACAATCAACAAGTGTGTGGGAATTGGGGAATACGTCTGTTGAAACACAACCGCTTCAAAATATTCAAAGTGATGAGCTGCAATTTATCGAAGATTATGAGCCTGTATCCAACGAAGGAGTCTACACATCAAGTTTTGCAGATAAAAATAAACATTCAATCGTAGAAACTATAAATTGCAACTCAGAAAATGAAACTGATAAGGAGAATATAAATGCTATAAAATCTAAATCACTTATGAAAAAACGAAAAATAATATCACCTGTACCTGTACCTTCGCATACCACTTTTCCATCAAAATCTCTTAGTGGTATGTCCACACAAATGTTAAAAGTGCAAGAAGAAACATTGTTATTAAAACAACAAGAGTTACAAGCTAAACGGGATATGCTTGCAACCCAACAAAAAATATTACAAGAAATGAGGAACATGAACTCAAACATACAGGTTCTGTTTGAAAATTTGTTTTCCTCAGTGTCACAAAATGAATAAAACGCACAGTACGGTGCTGATACGAATCAAAAAGACTGCAATACATTCTACATATATGTGATTTATTTAGAAATATACTATACGAGCTGTAATGCGTGGTCTACAATAGAAGTCGTAGCGGTCGTAGGGTCTTAAGTCGTAGAAAATTAACCAATCGCAATCGAATATGAGAAGAATAATCGACTATGATTGGTCAATTTTCTACGACTTAAGACCCTACGACTGCTACGACTTCTATTGTAGATCCCGCATAACTTTGTATGAGTGTTGTTAAAATTGCTATCGCAGGATTCTTATAAAAATTCAGTTAGAGTTCTTATTTTTTTCTTTTGATAACTCTTTTTGATTAGGGGAAAGATGTTACTGAGAAGATATTAAAGATATTCTTGATAAATGTTGCATAAATATTAAAATAATCTTTGTGTTGATTAATTTTAAAAATTTTATTTTTATTTTTAAAAATATATTAAAAAACATGTATCTTTTATTTATATTTTTTATATGTACGTAAGTTACATTTATTCTAAGACTGTTACGTAACAATGTGATAACTGTATGTTTTAAATGAGGTTTATATATTTATATAATAAGAAAAATTTAAACTTAATATTAGATAATAAAAAGAAATACCAAAAGAATACCAAAGCTAAAACAGTTTTAATATTTTTTAATACTTTGTTTATATTTTCTGAAAATGTATCAGTCGACTAAATAACGTTCAATTAATGGGAAGTTTAATAAACAATTAAAAATGTAATTACATTTTATTTCTTTTCTCATTTACACTATTTTGTAAATGTTACACCTTTGCAGTTTGTATTCGACAATAAAAAAAATTTGAATTTTCGTTTACAGATGAATACACAGCCATTGAAAATTAAAAGTAAAATAACTAAAATAATTTCAACGATAAACTACGTGAAGTATCGATGTATTAATACTTCCCGAACTTCCTGTCCTGCTCGACCTCTACCGTTATTAATGTTTTGTAAAAAATCTTCACCTTCTTGGTCTATATCATCGACATATAAATCAGGTTCGGGGACATTATATGTCTTTGCAATATTGTGCAAAACGCAAGCAGCATTCACTATTAATGCTGGAAGAGGCACAAACAAAAATTATATCACTTATCTTGTTAATAATTTGTATAGTAATTTCTATTTTTTAGTAATGGTTGGATACCTGCAAACTCTGGTTTGTAATGTAGTGCTCGTTCTTTTCTTAAGCACCTCCACCGACCTTTAAGCACTCCGATGCAACGTTCAATCTCGCTGCGGGCTTTAACATGCACGTCGGTATATCTAGCAGGAGGTGTACCAACGGGTTGATTTAACATTGGAGTTAACAAATACGGGAGTAGTGGGTATCCAGAATCACCTATTAAGATAAGAGTAGCAATGCATATTATTTTAATCGTGAGAATTTTTAAGAACTTAATAATTTCATAAATTTTTTTACAAAATGAGTTATAATAAATATAATTGTTTATTTTTACTACTATGAATATGCACTAATATTGCATTACATACAAACATTATTATTGTGCAAAGTTGTGATATGCAAAAATTTAATATTTATTAAGAGTAGTTTTAAGTATAAAAAATATTGAATTATATTTATATAAATTATGATAAAATATATACCAATCAACCATGTTCCTGTTCTGCCATTTCTGTGCTCTTGTTCTAAATGATGGGAGACAACCGATGCATTCCATATGCGTGAGTCATGAGTCCGTCCACCGTGGCCTGCATTAACAGCTAGAATTTTTTGGTTACCATCGCAAATCTGAAATTAACAATTTCTCTATTCATGCTTGTCTAATCTGAATGCACACACTATTTGTATAGTTTCTGCAAAGTATATTATATACATACAAGCATTACATTCAAAGAGTGGTATAACTTCCTATTAATATATAAGTGTTCTCGCAGTATTTCTGGTGGCCATATCGCAATATGAGTCCCATCAATAGCACCAATTACTCCAGGAAATCGGTACTTGTCCCAAAACTGCTTTTTGACGGCTTTAATGTCCTGCTCATCTATTGGAAACTTGATCCACTGGTCCAATATTTGATTTAGAGCTTCTACTACTATGTGAACTGTTCCACTTACGGACGCTTGAGACATACATGACAAGAAATCCTGTCCTACTCTTCTTTGGTATGAGCCCGAAGCTATGAAATTTAAAGTTGCTAAAACCTAAAAGTATAAATAATGTAAAAATTATACTGAAATCATTTTTAACGAACGTTAATTCTTTATTATTTAATATAATAATACACGTGAGTCACACCTTTAATTCTAGAGGTATTGCAGTTGAGCGTTGTTCTTGTGGCACATAAGGTCTTAAATTATTGCATAAATCTAGTGCACATTCTTTGCTTAACCTGCAAATATAGAAAACTCATACAAAATAGATTTCAATTAAACGTAAATGTTTATATGTATAAGGAAATAATCTTTTCTTAAATGCTCATTATTAATATAAATACTAAGGCGTTAATGCATTATGTACAATTTCATATATTTTGTTTTAATTTGACATGCATACATACATACCTATATAACTGGAGGAACTGAGTTTCAGGCACACTGAATGGATCCGAAGCATCCCGTAAATATCTGCGCATTAGTTTTAATCTTCGCCTTTCTTCTACTGCTAGATTAAAAACCCAAAAAACTGCGGCCATTTTATCAATTAATATGCTATGTAGGTTATAAAGTGACAAAAATAACACTAGATTTTCACCGTTTAACCATCTCGGCTGATGGTGAAAAATTTCACGCTAAATATCTCACGTCTTCACCGGAATCTGGAGACACGGTAGTGTCTCGGCGCTAAGCCAAGCGCAGCGACACTGCCGTGGATACTTTACGCGAGCCGGCGAGTTGCGGCAGATTGAGATTATCAGATCTCAATAACGGCTGACCTGATCGAGTTCTATATACGCTCAATCGATAGATTGACACCGTTTAGATTGTATAATAAAAGTGCTTTTATTTTTTTCCTACGTGCCCTACAAGCGGAGATATTGCGACGCAAAGTCCGGATCTGTCACTTTTCATATTTCAGATTCAGATACGTCGTTCTTCTTCTTATTATTATTATTGTCATTACTGTCGTCGACCAGGAAAAATGTACGTCTCATTTTTTCGATAATAGATGGCTCTTGACTTAACCAAGCGATGGCAGCATTGCACATTCGAACGTGATCAA